ATACATCGAGCATTAAAATAAATAGGAGCATGCATAATTACATAATGACATCAGACCAAATCATTTTAAGACCAGTAGTGTCCCTACCAAAGTTGAGATCAAACCTACACCCTTGGGAGAGACACACCTCAGGAGAGAGGATGACTACTGTAAATGTTATTTAAAATAACCTGATGATTCAGTATAAACCCTGAGTTTATAGTTTAAAGGTTCACTTAAAATCTGGACAGATTTTTGCTCTATAGCTTCCCAGGAGACCAGAGGCTCTCCAGCGGATTGTTTCAGCTCAGTTTTTATCCCCGTCATCTAGAGTCCTCTGGTGGAGAATGTTCTGCGTGGAGCCTTTTGATGATGATCTTTCCCCATGCTCAGGAATTATGCAGGTTTCTGATGGATGTTCCTCTGTGGGTTTACCTGTCTGCTCCATATCTCAGTGATCTGCCTCAGTGGTTTTGGGACAGTAACTCCCTCTGAATGTACTGTGGTGTCTCTGATAATCTCCCTTCATCCTTTTCTAAACACAGCATTCCATTCTAGATGAAAAGGCCTGACTGAGCATGCTCAGAAGACATTCCTGTCAGGTCACTGCGTTTCCATGATGAGGCGTGCTCTGTCCTGATCCCATCCTGTATAGTTGAACTCTGTCTGTCTGCCTCCAGCTCCTGTCATCGTCACTCCACCGGGTCAGGTGTACAACGTCAGCGGCTCCCAGGTGTACCTGAGCTGTGAGGCTGTGGGTGTGCCCACACCTGTCCTCACCTGGAGGAAGGTGAATCCATCTGTCATTTGATTTAACCTGAAAAAAAAAAGATCAATAAGGGGACAGCTAGAGTTCGAACACCCAATTAGATTATGAGAAATATTCTTTGATCTGATTATTTTGCTTCTGGTGGTACCTTTCTCAGGTCCTTGGTGGAAAGAGAAAGGCGGCGCTTCTTCCCGGAGATCGAGACAACCTGGCGATCCAGACCAGAGGAGGACCAGAAAAGCATCAAGTGACCGGATGGGTTCTGGTGAGGAATGGTTTCTACGTTTCCATTTAACACTTTTCAGCTGCTGGTGGTTTCTTTCAATCTAAGCCGTCTAGAAAAACTCAGAAGTCGGTCCTGACACCAGCTTAGGGGTAGCCAGCACGGTGGTCCAGTTCTTGTCAAATTATGTCTTGAGCTCATATCTGGACCAATCAGATGTGCTGGTCTTATTGTAGATCTCCCCTCTGACTGAAGAAGAAGATGGATCATATGAGTGTCACGCCTTCAACTCCAAAGGTGAAGCATCGGCCATTGGGGAGATCCACCTTGTCGAATCCATCGACGAAATCAAGACGGGTAACAAAAACTCTGACATCATTATCCACAGATGAACACAAGCATGAACCTGCTTTTAACTGCCCCCCTAACCCTTTTTGTTGAGGAACTTTTATTGGCTATTCACAACATCGATCCTTTCTGGATAATTCTGACAATTATACTTATTGGTTAATACTCCCATTCATTCTAATTATTTAAAGGTTTAGTGGAGGATGTTCTTTTTCCGGGTGGATCATCAAAATAAGTGGTCCTTCTAATTGTCAATCATTGTGGTGATATGTTTACGTAAGGCAGTCCTACGTGCTTGTCCCCATTTTCCCTTACCAGTGGAGAGTCTGACAAAAATAGCAAATCTTTTGGAAAGAAAGCTTGTATAAGCGATGCAAACAGCCACATTTAAACAGATCGTGCACGACGACAAATGGGCTCATGCATGCTCTTGCACGTTTTTAATAGGCGTTCCCTCTCTGGAGCGGGTACAGGGTCTTGCATGTGTTTTTTTTTTTTAAGTGGAAAGGACGGGTCTTATCAAATTCGCAAAAGTCCTCCACTATACTTTTAATCATAACATTGATTCTGACATTAACTGGTTTCAACTCAAAGTTGAGTTGAAACCAAAAAAAACCCATAGGGATTCCCATGTATCCCTAGGGCGAAATCCCTGTTTCTACAGGTCCTGGATCAGGAAAGTCCTGAGCAGTAGTCAGATGTTGGAGGCGGGTGTAATATCTAGTCCTCTGAGGAAAGCAGAGTAAACAATAGAAAGAATGCTTATCCAATTTTGATTATGTGTCCAGTCCACTATCTTGGAGAGATGGTATAATTAGGACATGAAGCTGTGTCTGTCAGATGGATTCAGGTTATCAGTGAGTCATCTACTGATCTCTCCTCCCTGGTGCTGACAGGATGAGGAACTGTGAGAAGATTTCCTGTGTTTAGGGAAATAGTGATACAGTAATGAGGAGAGACATGTCTCTGACAAATAGCTTCAGACAGGATCTGACGTGAAGAAAAGGTCTACATATAGTTCCTAATTCAGAAAGCACCATCACCAGGGAGATAATCCTACAGGTTTGTTTCTCACACTGAGAACAAAACATGGCTCATTTATTTGTTAAATAGTCAAATATTCTGTCTAACCTGGACTGATGGAATTAAGGAGACGCAATAGAGCTACCAGGACTTCTCAGCTGCTAAGACAAATAGATTTCTGCCACATACATGGCTCTATGTGCTTCAGCTGCTGTTGTCAGAGCAGAAACTGATACTTTAGAAGAGTCATGCATTGCAGGGGGTACGTCAAAATATTTAATATTTTACTTTCCAGGTAAAGAAATACAACAAAATAGGGTTGGGTTTTGCTCTATAAGGATTTCAGTACTAATTAAATTTCCATGCAACATGTTTATGTTATTTTTATTCTAATTGAAAAGTATGAAATGTCTGATCACTAAATGTTCAAGTTAAAAATTATTTCATTTTAAAATCAGTTTTACTTTCTACTTTTGGAAAATAATCAACATGATTAAATGATCCAGGGGGTACAGAAGTCAAAAAAGGTAGGGAACCCCTGCCTTAGAACACAGGGTCAGAGAGGAACTCAGAACTGAAAGTTCTTTAAACCATTTTTACTTTAGTATGTGTTCTCCTCAGGCTTCTAATGTTCCACATCAATGCCTTCTGTTCATGTACTTGTATCCAGAAAGCTGTGTGCAATCAGTGTGTAAATCTCTGACTGGAGACTTCTTTATTTCAGGGCTCAAGGAGGATGAGCTGTGATCAGCGGGTCCAACAAACATTACAGGAAACTAAAAAACACATTTCTGTTTCTTCTTTTTATATTTTCTCTTTGAATTAAAAATTTTATAATCCTTTTTTACTCTTTGCTTAAAGGGCTATGATGTATGTCTAAAGAGAGGTTATTTTCCACCCATTTAACTTTCTTCTCCTGCAGAACATTTTGTGAGAAAATTCGTTTCTGTTGTGAAATAAAAACAAGACATGATCCTTCATCAAAAATTTTTATTTTTTCTGAAAGCTGATACTTTTCTTTCCTGTTGATATAGAAAATAAAGTGTATAAATCAGATTGTAGCCAAATCAGACTCTGTTTCTATACCTTTCCCCAGTTGCAGTTTTTCTCTAGATATGTTAACTAGAATTATTTCCTTTTTTTTTTCTAAACAGCAGAAAGAGACTAACATCTGCATTAGAGGCCAGCAGGGGGCACCAGAGCTTAATATAAACACCTGTTCTTCTGGTCTAGCCTTGCCAGCCACTACAGGCAAAAGGCTACCTCTGGTCCCATTCCTTTATCCTGCACACCAGTAAGCTGGTGTTCAGGATTTTTAAATAAATAAAGGACTATTGTTTAGCAGGTTTGTATATGTGTATCATTTTATTTTAAGTAAATGTAATCCATACAGCACTTTGTCCTAGGTTTTCGTTTTAAAAGTGCATTGTAAATAAAGTTGGATAGGATTGGGGGCTTTTCTCTTTGGGAACAACTGCAGCTTAAAACAGAATCTGCTTTGAAGAGGCTGCAGTTCATTTTCCAAGTTTAACAGGACAGAGGTTAAGACTGTTACCATATTAACCTCTTTTACAGACAACAAGCCCGGTTGGGTCTGAGATTGAGAACCTGGTCTTAGGACAGATAACCAGGAGGTTTTCTTCTGAGATTTTAGATCCATCAGCAATAACTTCCCATCAGTGTTTTGCTGAGACCATTTTTCAGGCCATGAGTTTCAAATCCAACTGGCGCACAGACCCAAGAAAACGTATCTAAAATCTCAACAGTGTGCTTTCATTACACTGATATTAACAACTTAATTTAACATGTTGCATTTAGACAAATGCATCTATATGCATGCTGCATACACTGAACTACAGGATTGGATTGGTGAACACACAGCCTTCAGTTGTGAACACGGGTTTACCGAACAGTCTCAGATGTAGCAACTTCTATTTCCTCTGTAGGTCTGATTTTGATGGGACCATGATGCTGCTGGTTGGATGCTAGCAAAATCCTGTAATAATTAAGTGGCTGAAGGAGGATGACTTTATAAAAGAATAACAGCATGATAAATTCTCAATTGAACTGTATGCAGTTAACTTGTTTACACAATATAGGTTTGTGTGCACAAGGGGAGAGCAGTGTTCTTGTGCTATGAAAGGGTTGCAAGTACCTGGTTCGATCCCCACGGCCTGCACTCTGACCCCCTGAGCAAGACCCTTAATCCCACACTGCTCCCCGGGCACCGCACAAGGGCAGCCCACTGCTCTCCAATGGGATGAGTTAAATTCAGAGGTAGATTTCTCCAATGTGAGATAAATAAAGTTACCTGTATTTACCTGCTCCATTTATCTTTTCTGTGACTTGAGCATGCAGGAAACCAGTTTAACCAATCACAGTTGCTCATCTGATGGTACCAGCTCCTTCATTGGTGATTTTGTTAATGAAGTCTGGCAGTTAAACCAATAAAAGTTCAACTGTTTTCCGTTGTGTTATAGGTAGGTAAATGGAATTTCAAGAAGATTTGAAAATGCAAGTATGAAAAATAAATTCAATAAGGAATCATTTTTAAATTTGTTATTAGGAAAGCTATTTCTAATCAGATTTATAAATTTGTTTTTTACATTTCCATTAAGAAATAGGATTTTAAAATACATTTTTATAATTCAGTATTTAATGATGGATTAACAAGTAGCTACAATCTATGTTGGTAAAGATTCTCAGTCATCCAGGTCAAAATCATTCCAAAAAAGTAAAAAAAAAACACTGGACTTTGTTTCCAAGTTTGAAGATGTTTCGCTTCTCATACAGGAAGCTTTTTCAATTCGAAATGTCAGATATAGCGTTCGAGGTTTTATGGAGTGGACCAAAAACAAATCCTTGTTTTGGCTTAGAAAACATGTAAATTGAACCGAACGTACAGGTCAGACCCTTAGGAATGGGCAAGAATTTTAAATATCTACGGAAGTTTGTGTTGTTAATGATTAAAAATCTGGAGCAGGTTCAAGAGGTCCTTTTAAGGCTCTATGACTAAACATTTAGCTCCAACTGTCTAAACAAATCTGCAATTGAAGTTTCCTATGTTTGGTTGAGTTAAGTCCTAAAGGGTGTACTCCATTAGCTGAAAAGGTTTTATTAGACCTGCCACAAAACAAGCCTAAACTGGAAGGTAATTGGACTTTGGCTCTGTTTTTTTGAAGATTTTTCAACACCTCTCCGGGACTCTGTCAATTCTGCCAACTGCCACAAGAGTCAGGTGCAAGCCAGCAGACAAAATTGAGCCAAAGTTCAGTTGTCTTGCAAATTAGGCTCGTTTTTGTGGTTGCCATGACCTGGATGACAATTTAAACAGGCACGTATGGCCATGGTGCGTTCAAAGAAAGCTCAGAAAAAGAAGTTACTGCATCCTGATAGCGGTTTTAACTGTTGTAGCAGTTAAACGGCTGCCGTTTTGTGCCCGATTTTGTTAAAAACAAAAGAAAAAGTGGGGCTTTCTTAAAAAAAAACAATAGCCTAGGTGATTGGTCAACAATACAATACAACGCTTAGTGTTGTGTGTGTACTTTTTTGTGTGTGTGTGTGTGTACTTTTGGCAGCCTATCAATATGGAAAGTAGATTGATAGTTTCACGTATAAAGATGAAAAAGAAGCAATTACGTCACCAATTTGGGACATTAGCAGATGAGGAAGATGTCAAACAGTTTGGGCGCATAACTGCACCCATGGTCAGTTTAAGTTTATTCTATATTGTAATATTTTATATTTTTTGCAACTTCATAATCTGAAGGCAACTTAACAAAACACAAATGAAGCCAAAGTAGAGGGAAGGGAGACCTTCATGGTCCTCCATTTCCCATGAGTCAAAATATTTTCCTTTATAAGACCCACAAAATAACTTTGAAGAAGATTTTCGGCAAGAATGTTGCTTTGTTTAAACTAAAATATCTGCCCTGCTGGTAAAGATTTACCAGAATTTTAAAACAGACCTCCATAACATCCTGATACCTGATATCAGCTTTCCTGATAAATTAAATTTCCTAAAATACTTCGGCCCCACAGGTTGATCCTGCATTAGGCAGCTGGTTTTAAAGCTTTTTTATAAAATACACAAATTACATCTTTTCTGGCAGGTTTTATAATGGGTTATATATGTATCATTTTATTTTTAACTAAATGTAATCCCTACATAAATTTGGTCTAGCTGTTTGTTTTAAAAGAGTGTTTTAAATAAATTTTGATTTGATTGGATTGGGTTTTTCTCATTGTGAACAATTGGTCCTCTGAACAGAACCTGCTTTGAAGATGCTGTAGTCCAGTTTCCACACTTAGCAGGACAGTGGTTCAGACTGCTACCATAGTAACCAGTTTCACAGACAACAAGATCTTAGTAATACAAATAACCAGGAAGTTTTCCTCTGAGATTTTATTTGTTTCAGATTCATCAGCAGTAACTTCACATGAACAATCAGCGTTGATCTGTCTCCGTGACAACAGAGCGACCTCTAGTAATCTTTAAGTGGTTGGTCGACGCCTGCAGAGGCGGAGCCTTTGGTGTTTATGGTAAATTTGAGGTCGATATCTGAAAACTCAAACACAAACAGAGGATAGAGCAGGAAGAATGATGTGGCCAGGGTCCACTCACAGATTGCAGTATAAGTAAGAAATTCACAGAAATGGAAAACAGTCACTGAAGGAGAGAATAGTTAAGGACAACAAGTGTAACAGCATAGAAACAGTAGTAAAAAGGAACATCCCTGTCCCATGATCTGTCTGAATGTAAGTTCTATGATTGACTAAAATAACTGAATTCTTTGATAACATTTTATGACTGTATGTCATTATATATCATATAAATTATAGATATAGACATACATAGATATAATATATATAAATAAAAAGAATAGGTATAAATATATAAAATCTACTTACAAAAAAAGAAAGGAACCTGTTCAGCAACAACCAATGAATCAGTGCTTCAATTAAGGTCTGATCTCAGCACCTGGATCATTGGCTCCACCTGGTCAGGTAAAGGCTGGTTTATACTTTATGCATCCTCTATCACAGTGTTTGCAGCATTTATACTACATGTGGCTTTTTCTTAACCTGCCAAACTGATAATGTTTAGCTCTCAGGTTTAGTTCTACACATTATCAATCTGGGACTGCTGTCATCGAATCTGTTTGGGGAAATGGGAGATATCCAGCAGAGCTTTTTGAGCTGATTAGGCAAAGTGACCTGACCAACCAAGTGTGGTTTTAGCCAATCAGGGTAACAAATTAAATGGCAGTAGAGAGGCTATGAGAAAGCACAACAGCTTATGTTTTTAATGCTCTTGCTGTTCTTCTTTCAAAGACACAGATCCTGACAAAGCAGATGTGATAGGATGCTATGTTTTTTTGTTGGATTTTTTAAGGTTTTTTTTTGTTGGCTGTGGCCTCTGGAATTCCATCAGCAGTTAAAATAAGTATTGAACGCCCCACCACCATTGTTCTCAGTTCACGTATTTCTAGAGGTGCTATATAGATGCCTGTAACAATTCATGCAATCCACAGATACAAAGAAATCAAACCATAGATGTTCAGAAATAAGTTACCGTATGTGTAATAATGTGGAATGGCAAAGGGGAAAAGTATTGATCACGTGAAGAAAGGAGAGCGAAAAGGCATGGAAAGGCAAGACACCAGCTGAAATCTCTCAGTAATTAGAAAGTAATCCTTCCTCTTGTCATTGCAAATTAATATCAGCTGGTTCAGTCCCAAATGATGGCCTATAATAAGGTGTGTCTGGTATCAAACGAGAAACATCTCATGATGGGTAAGAGCTTTCCCAATACCTACACAACCTTATTGAAAATCATAATGATGGCATGGGTTACAGAAGGATTTCTAAACTTCTGAATGTTCTAGTGAACACTGTTGGGACCAAGTGGAAAGAACTTGATTTCACCATATACTGACCATGACCAGGTGCTCCTCGCAATATTTATGACAGAGTGCAAAGAATGATAAGAGGAATTGTCCAAGAGACAAAAAACACTTGAGAGCTTCAGAAAGACCTGGAAGTAGCAGGAACAATTGTTTCAAAGAAAACAATAAGTAATTCACTCAAACGCCATAGCCTGTATGCATGCTTGCTCACCATGCAGGACTCCATTGCTGAAGAAAAAGTATGTTAAAGCTTGTTTAAAGTTTGCTGGACAATATTTATACAAGCCTGTGAAATACTGGGACAATATAATCTGGCCAGTTGAGACCATTGTTGAACTTAATAATACTGCCATGTTTGGAAGTCAAAGGGCAATGCACACAAACCCAAAAACACAATACCCACAGTGAAGTTTGGAGGTGAGAACAACATGTCATAGGGTACTGGCAAACTTCAAATAACTGGAGGAAGGAAGAATGGAAAAATGTACAAAGACCTTTTTGCTAAAAATCTGCTGCCAGCTACCAGGATGATGAAGATGAAATGTGGGTGGAAATTTTAGCAAGGCAATGACCCCAAACACACAGTTAAGGAAACTCTAAATTGTTTTCAGAGAACGAAAAAATAAAGCTGCTAGAATGGTGCAGCCAATCACCTGACTTGAATCAAATAGAAAATCTATGGAAATAACTAAAGATCAGAGTTCATAGAAGAGGCGCACGGAACCTTCAAGACTTGAAGACTTTCTGGGAGAATGGGCCAAAATCACACCTGAGCAATGCATACAACTAGTTTCTCCATGCAGGAGGCATCTTGAAGCTGCCATTGCCAACAGAGGCTTTTGGAACAAATGCGTATATAAATTTCAGCAAGAGTGTTCAATACTTTTTCCCGGTGCCATTTCACTTTATTGCAAATAATTAAATTTCTGGACATTTTTTTTTTTTTGTATATGTGGATTACATGGCTTGTTCTGTTGAAAATGTCAAGTCAATAGCACCTCCAGAAATATATTTACTGAGAAAAATGGTGCTGTGTTCAATACTTATTTTACCTGCTGTCTATGACCTGTGATTCCGTTTATAAAGGATACTGCAGATGATCAGGATGGTGCAGATGGAGCACACAACATACCCAATGTACTTCACGATCTTGTCGCTGATAAGAAACAGTTGAAACCAGAGGTAGACCAGGCCCCCAAAGAATGCCAGAACAGCACCAATGTAATGAAGATAAACATTGTTTGAGACCTGAAACAGAACAGACATAAGAAGTAGATTTTAATCAGAACCAAGCAAGTTTCTGATAGGTTACTAGTGTGTCTGCTCAGCCAGAATCAGCTACCTGGAAGTTTCCGGTGATGGACAACCCCACAGCTGAGAAGATTCCCAGTACAAAGCTAGCAATGTTATACCCTCTGTTTTTTGAATGGTTTTTAACAGCGAGGAAACGCACAGTGTCGAATATCAGAGCTGTTGGAGAAAGAAAGAAGGTTTTAGTTCCACTGTATAGTTCTGGGTAGGATTAGTTTCTAGAACACAGCTAGAAGCTCTCAACTTTCTAACAGAAGCCTAAAAGGTTTTACCCAAACCTTGAACCTATATAATAAATTCAATGATTCACAATCACTTTTGTTTTTTTTGTAGCTTTTGGAATTCTGGTTCTGGTTTGGGTTTATTATATCTGGGGTCAGCATCACAAAGCAGGTTTATGGAAAACTCAACCTCTGTTTCAGTCACCGTAGTAACTTTCTTCCCAGATCTAACCTGGTAGGGAGCAGGAATTTCTCTCTCTTTTCTCTCCTTACAGCAGATCTCGCTGTTTTATTTCCTGAGTTAGTTCAATTTTTGTCATAGTTTTGTACATGAAAAAAAAATATATATAAAAATATATATATATATATCATTCCTGGGTTCGTTAAACACATTAGGTTTTAAAAACAAACATATCATGTCCGTTTGAGGAGGATCTTATTAAAGAATGGTCAGCACTATTTCACAGAGAATTAAATACACTGCTCAAAAAAATTAAAGGAACACTTTGAAAACACATCAGATCTCAATGGGGGAAAAAAATCATGCTGTTTATTTATACTGATATAGACTGGGTGATGTGTTAGGAGCAAAATGATGCCACATCATTTGATGGAAATTAAAATTATCAACCTACATAGGGCTGAATTCAAAGACACCCCAAAAATTACAGTGAAAAAATACAATGATTTTGCTGAAATTTCATTGCAGCAACTCAAAATGGTATTCAGTACTTTGTATGACCCCCAAGTGCGTGTATGCCTGCCTGATAACATCGGACCATGCTCATAATGAGACGATGGCGTCATGGAGTATCTCATCCCAGATCAGGACCAGGGCATCACTGGGCTCCTGGACAGTCTGAGGTGCAACCTGGCGGCGTTGGATGTATCAAACAAGCTCCAGAGGTGTTCTATTGGGTTTAGGTCAGGCGTGCGTGGGGGCCAGTCAATGGTATCAATTCCTTCATCCTCCAGGAACTGCCTGCGTACTCTCGCCACATGAGGCCGGGCATTGTCGTGCACAAGGAGGAACCCAGGACCCACTGCACCAGCATAGGGTCTGACAAAGGGTGCAAGGATTTCATCCCGATACCTAATGGCAGTCGTTGCAGTTTTCTAGCCTGTATAGGTCTGTGCGTCCCTCCATGGATATGCCTCCCTAGACCATCACTGACCCACCACCAAACCGGTCATACTGAACGATGTTACAGGCAATATAACGTTCTCCATGGCTTCTCCAGACCCTTTCACGTCTGTCACACCTGCTCAGGGTGAACCTGCTCTCATCTGTGAAAAGCACAGGGAGCCAGTGGCAGACTTGCCAATTCCAGTGTTCTGTGGCAAATGCCAATCGAGCTCCACGGTGCTGGGCAGTGAGTATAGGGCCCACTAGTGGACATTCGGCCATCATAGAATGATCAAATTATCTTACATTTAGCCCTTTTTTGGGATTATTGATCACACAGAGAGCAAAATTGTTGTATATATATGATAATTGTTAAATATACAATAAAAGTTTAATTCTATTCTATTTTAATTACCGTACACCTGGCAATACTGCCCTACACGTAGCAAAGCTAAGAATGTTTGGACCAACTTTAACGTTGGTATACTTTGCGTACCCGGACAACAGAGAGAAGGTGAGACAGTGTTCTGTCAGACCCGAATACCCATAGTCAATAAACATACGCAAGTCATCAGATTTGCGTTTATTTCTTTAGTTCTGTGCGAAAAATAGACTTTAAACTACCTCAATAGGCTTGTATCCCTTCAATCATGTACAAAAAAAGCTATTTAAGGTGAGATCACCATACGCTTCAAAAAAACACCAAAAAGTAAGTATCTAAATTGTTTTTTTGTACATGACTAAAGGGATAAACACCCGTTGAGATCGTTCAAAGTTTATTTTACATACAAAAATAAATGGATAAACTAAAGGGATTGATAATCAACTGTTCACTTTCAGAACTCTCTGAAGGTCTAGGGAACATTAAGAACTTTTATCCATCGTGAGAAAGTGCTGGCGCTCATAAGAACTACTTTTAGTCAAAAGGCTCATGGGGAATTCAGGTTCTCCTTCTTTTTGAATTTGTCTTCTAATGAGGTCGAATAACTCATTCAAGGTTACATGTAGTTGGATTCAATCTGCTGTTTTTTTGTTTGTTTTTACAAACTATATCAAGAGGAAATTCTCTGGTTTCACCTGTTAACCTTCTTTTGGTAATGTGTCCTGAGACTGCTTGTTGAAACATAAATCAGCCAGAATTAGTCTTAATGTAGGTGATCTTGGCTGTATTCTCTATTAACTGGATGCAGATACATAAAGCTGCCTTTCTTACCTAGAATGCAGCCGTTGTTGCAGACCTGAGAGAACCAGCAGCTGGCTGGAGGTTTTGCCCCACAGTGACTGATAAAAGGAACAGACATCATCATTGATCCTCTATTCTGTAACATAGACTCTTCTTCTGGCAGATTTTAGTTGAATTGATGTCAGATTTAACTTATCTAAATCCATAAACATAATTTTTCTTAGAGTAAATCTTGTTTTCATACAGACCTGATGTAAGGAAAGTGGTCCGTCAGATTCACTGTTCCATTATGCAAAGCTATTCCATACCTGTAGGATGAAAACAAAACCTCACATCATAAATCCAGCAGATTAACAGATGCCAAAAAGGTGTCCCCTAATTCTCAATATCAACATACAAATTTCAAAATAATGTGGGACTTTTGATAATTAATATTAACTGCTTTTCCTGCAAGCTGGGATCAGGGTTCAGCTACAAGTGTTTTCAAATCTTTGAACTGTCTGGGTCCAAGAAACTCAGTTGAGATCTCAAAAGAAGAAATGGGGGAATTTGTAAACTAATCATAGAACTAAATGAAACGTCAGCTTATGTCCAGAAAAAGATAAAATCTGTGCCAATAGAACAGATGGAGAGAGTTGTATGATCTGATTGATCAGATTTTATTAAACAACCAAACCAATTTTATGAATTGGAAATGAACTGGACTCGTTCTTTCTTGAAAGGGGTCTAAATTTTGTTTTAATTTTGATTTATAAACAAACTGAATAACAATCCAGCTCTGAAAAATGCAAAGCAATCATTTGGGAAACTCTTACTGCTTATTTAGTTATTTGACCAGGAAGTCTCTTGAGATCTTTTTCACAGGAGACATTATATTCGTAGATTAACTCATAAATTTTTGTAACCTTTATATCTTGAAAAATATCTAAAACATTTATTTTCTGTAAAATCTGAAACCTCTGATTAGAGGAAAAAAAGGGATGGATGAGGAAGAGAATAAAAACTCACACGGCCCAAATGCCGGCGATGCCATTCACTGCAACAAGGATGGGAATAGCAAACAGAGGACCCATCTCTCTCAGATTCTCTCTTAGCTCGCTATAAAACCACAAACACAGTGGGGAGATCTTCTTGATTCTGCTCACGCTGTATGAAGATGGATGGAGGTGGATTATGTTCTTGAGCTCAGCACAGGAAATCTGGAGTGGATTAAAAAGGATGGCGAAACCTGTAAACTCAGAGAAAATTTGTAAAGTAAGTTTTAAATACCATGATTCACACATAAATATCCTCTCAACAGTAAAATCATTTGTGCTTCATGTCATCTGGTAGACTTCATCTGTTTGAACTGGCTAAGGACTTTTTCATCAGCTTTACTTGTAGCTTCAGTCAGTTCAGGCCTTTATGCAAATTAAAAGTAAGAAACCAGAAAAAGAATAACCCCACCAGTCCCTCTCTTCTCTGTCTGTGTCTGTCGATGCAGAGATCAGTTTCCTTACCTGAAATAGGTGACACCTTGTTATAAAGGACTATGAAGCAGAAACAGGGGTTTTTCCTTTACCAACAGTCTCTGCATAACAGGAAGATGTTTGGTTCGTCTTTTAAAACTTGTAAAACGGGGGGCGGGGGGGCAGGGGGGTGTATTTCTGAAGAATTCAAATCATCCATTTCTAAGAATAATCAAGGAAATTGGGCATTACAAATGATTTTGACACACAATGCATCATCAGCTTTGAGTTTTAAACTTTCACCCTGGAAGACGTAAGACAGCGAACAGTTCCCATCTCAAAACACAGTCCTCGCCTTCTTCAGGTGAATAATGACAACTGTTTATCCCCTCCAGCCACTGACAGCCACCTGACTCTGGTACATCGTCGTACCTGACTTCAGTGGGCAAATGTTTAAATTCGTTGCGATCTGGCACGTGGGAGAGGGGCTCCTTTCATGGATGAATTCCGTTTACACTGTTCAGGGCAGATGGCAGATAGCATGTGCAGAGTAGTGTGGGTAAGCAGTTTTCTGATGTCAGTGTTGTGGATTGAGTGGCCCTTGGTGGCGGTGGGGTCATGGTATGAGCAGGCATCTGTTATGGATGAAGAACACAGGTGCATTTCATTGATGGAATTTTAAATGAACCAAATCCTGAGGCTCATTTTTGTGCCATACATCCAAGAACATCACCTCCCGTTGCAGAAGGATAATGCACACCCCCATGTTGCAAGGATCTGTACACAATTCTTGGCTGGAAACATCCCAGTTCTTGCATGGCCGGCATATTCACCGGACATGTCACCTATTGAGCATATTTGGGATTCTCTGGATCAGCTCATATGACAGCATGTACTGGCAATATCCAGCGACTTCGGACAGCCATTGACGAGGAGTTGACATACATTCCACAGGCCACATTTGACGACCTGATCAACTCTATGAGAAGGAGATGTGTTGCATTGCTTGAGGCAAATTTAGATCTTTGAGAAATGGGAGCAAAACCAAAAGCATTGCCTTTATATTTTTGCTGAGTGTATCGACTGAAAACTGTTGCAAAAACTCTAAGGCTAACTGTTATGCTGTTAGTGGAACAAATTAAATTCAAAAATACTTTATTAATCCCAAAGGGAAATTAAATAAATAACCTGTGAGATTTTTTTTTTCTTTTAACAAATCAACAAATATGATTTGAGGCAGACATGTTCAGACAGAAAACTGAATAAAAAACATTGGAGAACTTGCAACAAAATTTTTGTATTTTCCTAAATTTCTCTTACTTTTTCTCCTACTGTGCGCTCCTACAAGAGCCATATATCATATTCAACAAACTGGTATCTTCAGGTGGAATGCATCAATATGATGCATTCCACCTGTACAAAACTCGGTGCGCTTTTATGAGAATTGCAAATCTGCATAATTACTGCCCTGTTAATTCCATATATGGCTACGACTTCCAGATTTTCTGATCAAGATGTGATTTTAAGAGTAGTTTGATCCCATAAAGAGCTCACTGACTGTTCTTTTGATGAAATTACATAAAATTAAATCAGTGTCCCCTGGATACTGACATGCTAGCTGCAGTTGTAGTGACCCGATAGTTCTGTCATCATCAATTTCAAAATAAAATTTATAATTGAAGAATTGCACAATATAACTTGGACAATTGCTTCTAAATGAAACACATTTTGTAATTTTGTTAAAAAAAAAAGAAAACAGGTTTGGATAACAGCAGGCTGTTTGTGCAAGACTTCTATGTCAAGTCTAGAGCACTTGTAAAATTTGTTTGTGCCTGAGAAGATAAAAAAAAATAGTTGTGCATGTGGCATTTTCTATTAAATAAGTTGTGCAAATCCATTTAAGACAAAATGTGTCTTCTTGCATGAGGCCCAATGTGTGTATGCATGTTCTTTACATACAGGCTGCAGGCCTAAACATGTACCATGGTTGCTTTAGTTTACACTCACCGGCCACTTTATTAGGTACACCTGTCCAACTGCTCGTTAACA